AAACAGCACCTCCTCCCCCCCGAGGTGTCACAAACCTAGCGAAAAAAAACTAGTAAGTTTACAAATAGGAGACAAAAAGCTTGGCACGTGTTAGTAACAGCCCCAGGCAGCAGCTTCTGTCCACAGCCCGCCCACGGCAGCGAACGGGCAGCGACAGGTCGATTAGGCAGGTTTGCAGTTAATGGGGGGACACGGTCGAGTCCCCCCGACCCTGTCTGGGCTCCTTCTGCCACCGTTCAGACCAACCCCCTTCTCCCCGAGCTCAAACAGCCCAGGAGCGCTCGGAGGTGGCTGTGGGCAGCGCTGCAAGAGCCCAGCGGTTCATGAGAGAAAAAAAAGGTACTTTCGGGGATCCCGAAGGCTTCGTGGGAGCCCGGGCTCGCCGCAGGTTCAGGCATGGGCCCTACTTGTGCGTGGGACTATGGCAGGCACCGTCTCTGCCAGGGAGCTTGGCATCTGCAGGATCGAATGAGTGATGCTGCCCCTTGCAACTCCTGACCTCAGCACAGCACAAGGGAAAGGATCTCCTGGCCCTGCAGAACCACTGCTCTGCCTGTTTTTCCAAGCCGTTAAAGACAAAAGCAATCCCTGCGTGCTCAGCCACTGTCCTCTCCGGCCCCTTCTGCTGCAAAACCGGTGGGAAGGAAAACAAATGGAATGAACTCTCCACCCGAGCACAACTGACTGACATCACTTCCAAGTCAGAAGCCCCTGACCGAGGGGCTCAGGAAAGGTGCAACAAAAATACCTCATGTGAAGCTCTGGAAAAGCCAGAAGGGCAGATGTAACTACAGCTGTGCCTCCCAAGGAGCCGGGGGGAGGCAGGCACTCGGTCTCCTCTGCTGCTCTCCACTCTGGCCAAAGTCCCCCAAAGGCACAAAACTGCCTGTGCGACAGGAGCTCGGTCTTGGAACGCTGCCTGGAGGCTTTGGCACTTTCCACAGCTGAAAGCGCTGCCGGATCCAAGCCTGTCATTACTGCAGGCCCCCCGGAGTGCGAGAAAAGTGCAGAGCTAATGCATAGTTATAAAGCCGATACTGAGAAACATCCCAGGGGTAATTAATCTCACTACAGCAATTAGTGAAGCTACACTGGTTCAGCCCAGAGGTCCATCTAAGCTCCATCTCCAGCCACGGATACAGACAGGAGGGCTGGGGCAGGGTGGGGACAGGGTAATCATGACCCCTGGGTTCCTCCTAGGTCCTGGAGCCCAGGAATGAAAAATACCCCTTCCAAAAAAATGGCTTTTCCCCCCATTTGATTTGGTCCAACAAAATTGTGCTTCAGAGAGCAGAAAAAGCATCAACAGCCATGGCTGTTTGCAGCCATCCATTGAAGATGCTTTGTCTCCTCACCTATCTACAGCAATATGCTTTAAAACCCGTTTCATTTAACCTTTCTTTCTCCAAATTACACTTACTCTGTAGCCAGGCATTGGTACAGAGTAGGAGCAACTGCTCAGGGTGGTTACAGATAAAGGGCAATGGCGTTCTGTCTGAAAAATTTATCTGGAAAAATCTGAAAATTTGTTTAGTACTGCTGGCTTTTGAAACTGCTCAGTTCTCAACCAGTTAATGCTCTCAGGGCAAGGCTGAACCTCCAGTTCCCAAAGGGAACTTCATCATGGTTCATCATTCAGTGTGACTTGGAAGCTCAAAGCAAACCAGGATAGAGCATTTCACCCACTCCGAGGAGACACTGGGAGAACAAAGCTCTCAAAGCAGGTGGGCTGGGAGCGGCCCTGGGCTGAATGGGGTGGGGGCACTGCTCAGCACTGTGTCCCGTGGCCTGGAGTGCACGTACTGCACTGGTGGAACTAACAGGGGCTGTGGCCCCTAATCCCCCCGAGATAATCCACGCCTGACGTCTCTGAGCTGCACCATTACTCTAACGCCCTCGTCTCCATTCCTAATTTCACTGTGTCAACCTCAGCACCTCCCTCAGATGCAAAGAACCTGAACAAGTGAGACCGCTCTCCCACCATGTCACACAGGGTGCTGGAAGGAGGCTACTCCAGAGCTCAAGCCTCCGGTTCGAACCTCCTACTTTCATGTCTACACACTACCCGCGACAGTCCCGTTATGCCATTGCTGTCAATAAATGCCATCGTGAAAAGCTGGCATCCAAGCCACAGGGCAGCTTACAGCTCAGAGCTGCCGCTGGCGAGGAGGTGTGGAGGACACCGGCTACCAGGAAGGAGCTTCCCACCTGCGCTGGATTCTGCGCCTTCGCCCACACGGCACAGGCGCTCACCACGAGTGTTCGGTCGTAATGGCAATGCTGTTCTCCATGATTCAACACACAGTCCAGTCCTTGAGATCAGGGTTTTCCAGGTGACGCTTAGTATAGCTGTTACACAGGTTTCACCACTGAACAGGAGCTGGAAAAACGTGAGGGTGGGTGGCAAACCAAGGCATATGCACCGAGAATGTTTATAAATTCAAGTATTTTCACTCCCGTAAAAATTTGCCTGAACTCAAAAGGGCAGGTTATGTAAACTGGTATCACTTGAGACTTAGCCTCAAACCAAGATCCAGAGCAAAGCCCCAGTCCTGGGACTCTCTGCATCTTAACATCAGCGTCTGCCATGAACGTGAGGAAGAATTGCTGTAATCAAAATAGATCTCTGAAGTCTTTGGCCATCTCTGTGGGGCATTCAGGTGCCTTTGTTTTTAGGTCTGCAGGTACGGTTTTGCTCTTTGCAGTCCTTCCTTCAGGAACTGGAGGTAAGTTGCAGTAGAAGGGTCTTCAAAATTGGTTGAGAAACTAAAGATGCTACTTTCAACATCTTCAGGCTTCATAGAAGTAATGTCCAGGAAGTAATTGGCATTGATATGGTGAACCTGGGCAAGAAAACAGATGAGGAGAGACTTGAGAGGCCAGAACAATTCTCCAACCACTGTCTTGGCCTCTAGCCAGGACATAGGTGACAAGACTGTAACAACTCTTAAAGAATCTCTAATACTTTGCAAATGCTAATTCAGCATCCAGCATTCAGGTTTGCATTTTACAGTCAGAGAAAGATATGTGAAAGACAACAGTCTGTTTCTTCCCCCAAGAGTGCTGATCCCTCACTTAGGTTAAGAAGAAGATAAAGGCGATCAGGGAAAAATCACGCAGGCATACAACCTAGCTCTGAGCAAGGGCTGGGGAGACGGCAGCTCGACCATGCTGCCTGCTGGGGTGCGTGCTCTCAGCCCAGCACAGCTGCAAAACCAGCACCTGAGCTTCAAATGCCTCTGTGCTTTCTGCTCCCCCGTAGAGGTGGGAAAGGAGGACATGTGGCCATGGACTGCAGCAACCTCGACAGGCTGTTACTCACTGAGCTGAAGCCACCCACCAGCCCACAGCCTCATCTGGAGGGAAGCCACTGAAGAGACAGCAAGGAGTCACCGCACGCGTTACTAGCTAATATCTGGCAAGTGTAGGGCACAATCAGATTAGCCCTGGCAGGATCCTCCACTACAGACAGCTGACACACAGCAAAGCGCCGTTCCTGTCGAGTGTCAGGAACTGTCGTCGTTCTTCAAATCCAAGGCGGGGGGGCTGTTGGGGAGCACAGCAGAGCCGAAGCGTGTGGACTTGCTAATGGCTGATCTGCTGTGACAAATTTGTGGAATGAAGAGAAAGATAAATGTGCTAGAAGGTGCTGATAAGGAGAGATTTTCTCCAAAGCATGAGCACAAGGGACAATGGGTGCAGGAAACAAGGTACGATGGCTTCCCAAAGGTCACTCACTCCAACCAGGGACAATGAGGAGTCACAGGCAGACATTTGGTTCAAGTCTGACTGTTCCCCCGCCCCGCCCAGAGCTGCTGTTGTTCTGTCTCTGAACAGAAAGACATTTGTTTCAGATTTCTTGGTAGAGCTGCTGTCTCTCTGCCGCAGCACTGTGAGGGAATACAGCCTCACAAAGGCTCGAGGGGCCAGGGAATGGCCTGGGGGGGAGTGGACACCCGCTTCAGGGTCTGCAGATGACCCTAAAGAGAACATGTTCTAATGGGAAGAGCCAAGCCCAGCGGCAGTGTAACGAACATACCACCGTGCCATTGGGGAGGCAGATGATCATCTCCACGGGGAAGTTGTATTTCTCCAGGTGCAGGTCAGCCAGCTTGCTGTAGAACTCATTCTCTCTGTTGGTCTGTAAGGAGACCACAAAAAAACATGTTTGCACACACCAAAACTAGCAGAGCGGCGCAGGAGGAGTACACCGAACATAGGAGGAAGGGAGGGACTGAAGAGCTGCTTTGCAGCATGGTGGTAACTGGTTCCATTCTTATGATCTGCTTTACTATTCCCTTTCAGTCAGTCTCTCTCTCACATTTCAGCTGTAGATTTTCTCCCCAAACAACAAAATCACCCCATCACTAGCAGTTCCCAGGCACACCAACAGCCTGATCCCAGCTTTTTCCAGACTCTCCAGCTCCAGGCCCAGAGACAGGCTCATAGGTGGGGAAAAGTGCAATCAGAAGACTCAGGGTTCAGACAGTATTTCGTTGCTCCCTGGGTTACAGAGAAGTCAGTTTGTTGATGGCACAAACGGCCTTGGGCAGGGCTATCTCACAGTGAAGCATCTGGTTTAGCTTTTAAAATTGGCACCACGACAGAGCGAAGGGGGTCATTGTGCCATTTTCTTAGTCTGCCTCCATCTGGTGTTTGCTTGGCCCTTGCCATCGCTAGGACACGGAGGGCTTGGAACCGAAATCCCCCACTGGCACAGGTGTGAGCTCCCCGCTCCTGCCAAGCACCATCTGCGTTCACCAGCACCGAATTCAAAGAAGGCAGATGTGGCTGCGACACTCACCTGCAGCTCTTCCAGCTCCTTCACCAGCGACCAGCTGCTAATGAAGCTAGAATGGGCGAACTTTCCAGGACAGTCTCCCGGAGAGTTCGCCCCGAACCTGGCATAGGAAGAGAGGCAGACAGTGGTTTGCCGTGTTTCCTGAGCTGACTGTTGCCATGTTGGATGTCACCGCGATGCCACTACTCTGGTTGCTGGGGCAGCTGGCTTGGGCTCCCCCCGGCCCAGCCCATTGTCTTTTTTCTCCTTTGCTAGCAGTTTTCCACAGCTTATTGTTTCCCATGTGTGCTGCTGGCAGAGAAGACTCACCAGAGCAGACCCCAGCCACTTGCAAGGCCACAGAAGGACCAGGACAAGCTTGCCATGGAGGCTGACTGGTGTGGTGCATTTACAAAAGGATCAGGTCCGGCGGATCCACCCTGAGTGCCTCTTGCTGTTCATGCTGAGCAGAGCCCATACAATGCTGGACAGCTTTTAAGGGCAGACAGGACTAAAGATATCTGCCCCTCTCCCACCCATCACTCCTGCTCAATGTGGCATGCAAGTTCTTAGGCGTGGGGGGGCGGAAACAGCTACACATCAGGACAACCCCAAGCCCACATCAGGCTCTGGCTTCTCCTGTGCAGGTGCCAGGGACAAAGCAGAGAGCAGTGTCCCTTTCACCCTGCAGATGCTGCCTCTACCCAAGCAGACTGAGAGGGGAAGAGAAAAGAGAAAAACCAGACCCATACCTCCACCTCGACAAAGCCACTTGAATTAGCGAGTTGGTCTAGGGCTTGTCTTAAATAGATCTGATCCTGCCACTGGGGACCTAAACTCTGATCCGTAATTCCCCACTTCCAGCCCTTTTCTATTCAGCATCTTCAGTGCTAAAATGAGTAACACAACATTTACCACTGGCTCGTGACCAGCTCCCCGACCCCCAGCTCTTCTCAGACCCTGAACGAGGCATCATTCCTCCGGCCACGCTGGGAATGTCCTCACCTCAGCAGGACTGGTCGTCCAGGGCACCCCACAGCAGGATCGAGTGCACCAGCTTCTTTTCTGCTTTTGCTCTCTCAAAAGCTTGTGTGAAGGGAAGATAGGAGACCTGGAGGCAGAAAGACAGCTTGAGAAATAGACACAGAACAGCCCATCTCAAATACAAGCAGGGTCTGAAGGAACCAGACCTGCCACATCCCACAGGTGACACACAGAGTTTTTAATCTGCAGTAGATCCTGCAGATTAAAGCAAATGACAACTGTGGTGCTCTCCCCAGGGACAACTTCATCTCCCGGTGAGACTGTAGCAAGCCCCTCACAGCCTGTGGGCTGTTACTGGCACCAGCAGAGCCCCATCTTTACACGCTGCAGAGAGCATCTGCACAACTGCGGGCAGGCTGTCTGCAAACACACCTCAGCAGCCTGGGAAATCTGGCCTTGAGATATTTATTACAAAACCACACTGAAACGGCTTAAAAACTGGCTCTGAGGGACCCCGCACAGAGACTACTCCAGTCGCTCACATGAAGGGAACTTTATTAACATCTTGGCAGCTCAAAGGGACATTTGTAAGCTCAGGCACAAGGAGACAGCCATTGAAATGTGTCCCTTCAGCCAAGGAAGCAGTGACAGGCAGCAGCCATCTGCTCCACAGGCTCCTGGCATGTTATATAGTTTGGGTCACCCAATGCTATAAATTTGTGTCTCACTGCGGAATGCAGAGGCACAGGCGGATTGTGTGTTTTCTGCTGATAAGGAAAGCTTGGTCCAAAGGTAGCTGAACGTTGCAAAAGTAATGCCAAAGGAAAACCATTTGTAAGCAGCGCGATTACCTGCTTCACTCAGAAATTGCGTCGGCAGCTACTGATAAGAGGAAGGAAGGCTGAGCCTACATTTGCAATACAAGCCTGGGACACATGACATCTAGGCTTTGCTCCTGCCTGTGCTGCTGTGCGACCCCAAATGGCCTTTCAGAGATGATGTACTCCGTCATCTGGAAACTGGAAGTCCATCAAGCCACACATGCAGTGCCTGGGAGACACACACTGAGCTGGGAGACCCTCACACTACTCTGAATGATCAGGTTGTGGCCTCTGGTTTCTGCTGGTCCTCAAGGTGACTGGACATCTCAGTGAAGATGACCTGCCCCAAATAAAGGTGCCAAGGAAGAGCCTGGCCCCTTCCTCACCTTCTTAAATGGATACATGGCCACTTCCAGCTTCTGGGCTGCCTCTTCCCAGGGGATTTCCTGCTGCCAGGTTATCTCTTCGAACACAAACTGAATGGGCTCCCCTGAAGGATCCCTGCTGTCAATCACATTTCCGTTCTCATCATGGATCACAGAGGGGATTGAAGGCCCTGTCGATTCCAGTTCCATCTGCAGGAAAACAGGCTGAGTTGGACATTGCAGACATCCCACTCCTGGTTTTTCTGTACTCCAGGACAGGCTAAAGGTGCAAAATAAGAGTGTGCAGCTTCTACTGAAGGTCTTGATCTGTTGTCTCCTGGAGCTGCACTTTACCACTGGCAGATGTGTTTTATTGGGGAATAGCAGGAAAGCAACTTCATTTCCTTCAGTTATTGTCTGACTGTGTTCGCTAGATTGGCAATGCATGAGACCTGTTCACTCCATATTCCCTTCTTCCCAGTGGAGATTTTTGACTGTGGGACACCGGATCCTTAAAACCATTGGGACCTGCAGGGCTGGTTTGAAGCTCTTGCTCATATCACCAGCACAGCCCTTACTCAGCCCGTGGCTAGCCACAAGAGGGTGCAACTGGGAAAGCTGTTCAGTGTTCTGGTACATCTGAAATTATTTTGCGAGTCTCTTTTCCTGACTTTTGGCAATTAAAAAGAAACATGGATCTGGTTTAGGAGAAAATGGGACTGTTAAATTCAAGCATTCAAAATCCTGACTTACGTTTTTTGTCCCAGGAGCTGGGATTACCACAAAATAGAGGAATAACCTCATGCAGTTTCTAAATTCAGACACACTGTTGTTCATACACCCCTCTGGGCTCAGGGCCTGGGTTCAGCTCCTAATCTTGCCCCCCCGCCTGTCAGAGAACTTTTTAAAAATGGAAAAAGTCTCATGACTCCAGGAGCTTAGGATTCAACCCATACAGAGGGAAAAAATAAAATATCACAAGAACTGGCAATAGGGAGCCACACAGCTGCAGAGGACATACACAGATCAACAGAGATTATACTGTTATATTGAAATGTTCAAGAGAAAGCTCTAAAGAACAGGGATAAGTGAGCTTATACAGCTTAGGGGCATGGCAGCATAAATCCCTGCTGAGATGCTGCACTCACACGGAGGACTGAGAGTGACTACAGACCTGCGGCAGGTAACCGATATCCACTTCCATGTTGCTGCTTTCACTCGCCCCATACAGCCACTCCATATCAACGTTCAGAGACCTGCAAGGTGAACCCGATACATTCAGAGTCATCCAAGGATAAAGCTGTGTACGGGAAACCCCAAACAAATGAGAACATCCAATGCTCTTCTTGCAGGGTCAGCACTGAAGCCCGGAGCTTCTGGCTCCTTGGAGATCATGTTCCCTGCGCAAGACCAGCAACACTAGATCCCTGCTGGATCAGGGCCCAGGCACCCACCCAACACTCTAGGCAAATGCGCTCACACCTTTTAGTACTGTCAAAGTAAGGAAGAGAGAGGTGTCTTTGCTCCCCCTTCCTTTCCAGGACTTAACTTGCGCATTCTGATCCTGCTGCACTTTTAAAAGTGTTTTTTGGAAGCAAAAGGCTTTTGTAAGGAGTTGCTGGCAGAGCCGTAAGTGTCTGCTTGCTGTAACAAATGTGCTGACAGAGCCATAGGGATTGAATCACCACGGTAATGTTATAATAGAATTTTCACTCCAGCCGTCATGGGCAAAGAGATTTGAAGCTTCTTTCCCCTGAAACGCTTCCAGCTGCTTGCCAGAGAACAGGAATGAGCTAGTGTGAAGCTATGCACACAAAACCTTAACCTGTGAAACACCAAGCAAAAAATACATTGAAGCAAGAGCATCAGGCTTTGCTGAACTTCAGTGCTTTGAGCCAGGCACTGGCATTGCCAGGGGTTGCCTCTCCACACCCTGCCTGTCTCGCCCCATCCTCCAAGTACCAAGGGACAGTTACTGGTAAGTGAATCAAACGCTGAAATGGGTCAGGGATCCTCAGCGACTAGTAGAGATGCATTTGTCAGTTTTACAGGCAACTGCAGAGCTCAATTCACTCACATTTTCTGGGGACTAGGCTGAAAAGCATGAGCTCATCCATCACAGACACCCGAGGAGCCTTCTGCAGCTTGCAACGGGTACCTGACATCTGCAAGAGTCCCTGACACAGCCAGGGATTGCTGGGACAGGTCAAGGGGAGCAGTGCTTGCAGCAGTGATACTAATTAAAAAGCTGATGCCTGTCTCTAGGGCAATATCAGGACAACTTAAACTCCCCATCCCTGTGTGTCTTCCCATGTGCCTGCAGGTACCTCCTTCTAAAGTGGTTTGGCACAGGACAGCTCAGGCTTGGACGCCCAGTTGAAGCACGTGCCAGCTGCAGCCAGGTTGTGCAAGGACATCCATCCACAACCCCAGCAACTCCATGTCCCCACCAACCTCTGCCCTGCTTCTCCCCCATCCCTCCTCTGCCCTTGTCCTTCCCTGCCTCTTCCAAGCCAGATGCCCCCCAGACCTGTTGATAAACAGAGCTATTCCTGAAAAATTGCATCAGAAACAGTTCACGGAGCAAATGTGTCTAGACAACTGAGGACATGATGACCGTGATGACCGCTGGCAGAGAAGGGTGTGTGGGGAAAACAGATAAGCAAACAGGAGAACTAGCCTGCCCAAAGCTCAGACTGCAGCTCTGCCTTCCCCACATGAGCCAGGATGCCCGCATACCCCAAGGGACAGAGCTGTCACCGCACCCATCTCTTTATAAAAAAAGAGCCCACCAGCCTGCCCCCACGCACAGCCCCTACTCCTGCACAGGACAGGATCCCAGAGCCCCTGGGTTCCACTGCGCCTCATTTATAACAATTCTCAAGTCTGTTCAGCACCCAGGACGAGAGAAAACCAGCTGTACCTGTTGTTAGGGACAAAGAGCTTAAACTCTCGGACATGGGAAGAATCCTTGGAGAGGATGATGTGACCTGTGAACTGGCCTGGGGAAAACCAGAAGGGGAAGTCTGGTGGCTCGTTCAGCTGGAACTCAGCGTGGATCCTGAAATGAGAAAGAAGCTATCAGCTGCAGTGCTGGGAGGAGAGAATGGATCAAGCACTGCAGCTGACAACAGAGAGAAGCGATCTCCAGGCACCAAAAATTATGAAGCTAAATTGGAGCAGAGGTTCAGTTCAAAAAGCTTGTCATGTCACACAATGAAGAGGGTAAAAGACTGGAGCAAATCCCCTGGGTCAGGATCATCTCCAGTATTGATGCCTTTTGGAACTGGGCAGTAAAGTGTCCATCCAGGAAGGATGAATTACATTATCATTCCTTGAAACTCAGGAACAGACTAAGACCCCTTCAGCCTCCCTTCCAGCTTCATCGGGCAAATACAAGCTGTGTGTAATACTCCCAGTAGAACAAGAGAACGATTCCCCAGACTCTCCCCCTTGGAAAGGCACTCTGCTCCCTGATTAAACAAAATCTAACCAATTCCTTGCTAATCAGACTCTGCCCTTTCAGCCAGGGATAGTTCCAAACCAAGGATGATGGAGGAAGGCTGTTGTCCTGGATCTGGGCAACAATCGCTGCCTCACCAGGGCCTCAGTGACACTGGGAGCACGGGTGCCCTCTTCGGGCATCAGCAAAGCATCACACACGGGCAAGAGCTGGCTGTGAACCACCCTCTTCCTCGAACTGCTTCTCCTCCCTCCCAGCCAGGACACATCTGTCTTGCTTGGGAACACGACTGCACATGCAATGACACGCGCACTGTCTGCCACGGGCTTACAGCAGCCTTCTCCATTCCTCTGAGATATGGAACAAATTCAGAAGTGCCCCCAAACCCTCCTCTAACACCCCAGACCCATGGCCTTACCTGAATGCTATGGTGTAGTAGAAGGTGCTGATGGCTTGGATGCAGGCCACAGCTCCTTGGGGAGCAAAGCGGGTTTTTACGAAGGGGCGTGGGTGGAACATGCTCAAAAGCCTGTGGATTATGATCTAGAGAAAGAATTGTAAGAGAGCAAAAATGAGAACGGTTCCTCTACTGCAGGTCAGCTGCAGCTCCAAAGTAACTCTCCACCAGATCAGGAAGACAAGAGAACTGCTATGACTTAAAAATTAGCTCAGAGACCTACCTAATCACAAAACAAGGAGATAAAGCAAGAGATTGCTTTTAAAAATAAATCCATCTTCCACGCTTTTTCTGCTACTCCCATTGTTTGCAAGTTTCCATCATCCCAGTCGGTTGAATGTCTGAGTACGGTAAACTGATCTACGAGGCTGCCTCCATCAATACTACTTAAGACTTTGAAAGAGTGGGTATGCAATCAATAAACACACCAGGCTGTGAAGGTATAACAACGATGTGATCACTAACACCTATCCCGGCACCCCGGGGGAGAGCGATACACACGCCTGGCTTTACAAACTACGTATACACATCGTTTCACTTGTCAATGAAACACTCACCTCTGGGGTGGCACTGGCAACTGTTCCACACAGGACGATCAGTTCATACAAGTGCTTTCTGAACAACCCTCTCCCCTCCCTGTCTGGGAAAGACTAGCCTAAAACCCAACCACTTAAACGAAGCAAGATGAAGTTACTCAAGCCAGCCTCATTTGGCCATGACATACACCCAGAGCTTTTGCCTGCTCTGTTTTACCTCCGATGTAGAAGACGCTGTTCCTGACTGTACACTGCATTTTTGCACCCTTAGAAAGTCCAGGGAGACATAATGCAACAGCCTTGTCCCCTCCAGGGACTCCTGTGATTCATCTGGGCTATAAGGCAGAACATTTATACAAACTACCTCTCAGGTATATAGATACTAAGCTTCATATCTCACCTCTTTGCCCTTGGGAGGTGGAGGGTAAAATCTGTTGTTGGAAAGATACCCAGTGAAGATGTTCAATTCACTAGGAATTATCCACCACGGATCCCCAAGATCCAGTTTATTCTTTGGAGGAAGAAAGGCTTTAAACTGTCTGGCAAGCATCACGCTCACAGGGGCTGCTGGGGCAGTCCAATTCCTCAGCCCAGACAGAGCGACATGAGAAATCTGTGAACAAAAGATACTATCAGAGCCTAGACCGGACTCTTCAAACGTGCAGTAATGCTGGCAGATGTAAGTAGGAGAAGGGGAAAAAAAAATATTACATTTTAAATTCTTCCTACCACCCCAAACACCACCAAATAGTTCTGTCAACTTTCAATTATGTGAATAATAGGAAATGGGAGAGAGGGGAACATACCACATAACACCACTGCTTTTGGACTTAGCTCCAGCAGAGCCATCTCTAACGTCTGCTTCAAGCTTCCCAGGAAGGGCGTATTAATTGGGGCACAGCGCTGCTGAGTGCACTGAAAACAATGAAACACTGCAGAAAGCAGTGAGCTTGCTCGTCAAAGCAAATCCCATGGGCTCAAGCAAGACTATCTCCCCCTCCCAACATGCTAGCACTTACTCCAGCTGATGTTACCAGCCCATAGGACGTGTTCACACCAGAATTTCTGGCCATACACATCCTGCATGATACCTACTCCCAAAAAACCATCTTTGCTCTTCGTCATCGTTTCCATGACCAAAGGCTGGAATTTAGCCACAACAGACAACGTCTCCCCGCTTGGATCAGGCGTCTCCTCCTCTTCAAATTCTGAGATGGGAGCAACCCCTAGACAAAGGGACAGGAATTTAAGCAGCTGTTTTCCCTCCTTCCCCTTTTAAGCAATTGTGAATTACACATTTATCCTGGCAAATCCAAGAGCACTGGGAGCTTCCCAGCTGTCCCTATGCTGTACGCAGCGGCAGAACTCAGACCCACCCCAGAGACCAGCTTTGGCTGCATGAATTAAAGGGGAGCCCTCCTTTTAGCGGACGACTTTCTAAACCCCATGGCTCAGTTAAGCAGTCTCATTTCATCTAGGAGGGATCAGAACACATGCTTTAGCCAATTCATTACAGCACAAGCAAACAACTGTCTGTATTTCAACTGTACTGTAAGCTCTCCCATACATTATCATCACCACACTTCTTCCTGCTTGGCACCACCAGGAGACATTTGCCACACAGTGATAGAGTCTCCAAACATGATCTCTCACAACTGCTATCTGAGAGAGACTGCTACAGCCAGAGGAGCGTATGAATGAAACGCTGCGACTCACTAATAGTTTTGGCCTAGCCTGGGCTGAGCTGTATTTGTTGCATTCACCCATCCCAAATCCCCTTTAAGCTCTACACACAGTAACTTATGTACTTTGCTTGTCCAGCAATGGGATCTTCAGTTTTGTAAAAACTCTACTTTGTGAAAGTGATGTCTAGTGCTTAAGCCTTTTCAAAAACATGTAAAGCTTAGCAGCCTCTCTTCATGTAAATAAGACCCAAAAGAGGACCCAGAAAAAAATAAGACATGAATACAAACTGTTGAGTGCATTATCTTTGGCTTTTGCTCGGTCTGTGCAGAGAGAGCTCTGAAAGGTAGACAGATACCTACCCGTGAGCTTCTCAGCTATCGGCTTGAACTCTTCCGGACTGAGGTACAGATCGTTGTTTGTGTCCAGAGAAGAAAAGAGAAACAGCCCCTCACTTCCCAAAGACTTCAGTGCCAGTTCCTAGTTCGGGAAGAAGGGGCAAATGAAATTTCATTCCAACCTCTTGCAGAAATTCACTCTGGCCCCCCCTCAGCTTCAGAGTTAATTTGCATTCTTTCCAGCACACAAACACAGCCATCAAATTGAAAGATTAACGCCCCTTGGCAGGATTTTGTGCTATTTACAATAGGGATCGGTGTCCAGGAACTGTTGGCATGAGCATATTAAAACTACATCTGGCTGAGTAATTCAAACTGAATCATTTGCTTGGAGTTGGCCTCAAAGTCTTTTGTCAGAAAAATTTCCAACTTTTTCCAGATAGTTAGTCCTAAACCTGCAGATATTCAGAGCACCTGGAGATCATGATTTCTGTAACTAACTGATGAAAGAAAATTAACTCTATCCCAGCTGAAACCAGGACAGAAATGAAGGCAGTCAAATACAAGACTATCCACATTACAAAAACACAAAGGAAATGAACTGAGCCTTTGCAACTCTGCAGAAAGCAACTTAAACTTAAACCCGTGCTGAGATCCATGCCAGCACTACCGTGCACAACTGCCCTGCTCTAGTCAGGTTCCCCTCCAGGTCTCCAGCCTCAGGAATGGATGGAGCATTTCAGCCCCTTGCTCCGCAGGGAGCACTGCCTACCCATTCAGCCATACATTGGGGACCCACAAATCCCATGCTCTTCTCCAGAAACTTCTGCAAAATCCCAACCACCCTGTGCCTCAGTTTCTCCCTCTGCAAAGTCCACACGGAGAGCATCCAGTGGAAAACACCACTGAAACGCAATGTCTCCCTTGGAGCAGCCCCAGAAAGGCTCTAGATTCTTCCAGTCATTTCCACTCCGCAGCACTCAGCACTGAGGGAAAGGGACAACTTGTAGGCAGAACACGAGAGCTCCACGTTGGTGTGAGAGGAAGAGAGAGACATAGCAAGTCAGACAAGCCACATCACTGCCAGCCAGCCTGCAGCACATCCCCTGTGACCCATCATTTGGGGCAGCTTCCCTTGCCACCCCCGTAAAAGCCTAAAGCTGCAAGGATAAATACTCTGTATTCTGCTGTTTAACTGTGTTTATTCTCTATTGCCTGCAGCACCATTACCATCCCCAGAGCTCCTGAACTAGTTTATTTTCCATCTGTTGCCTGCCAGCCTGAAGCAGCACTAATGCAGCCTGGAAGGCTTTGCTCCTGTCAACTGCAGCAACAAAAGCACTTAAGAGCCTTCCAGGGCAGTTTCAGGACTGAGACAGACAGAAATAAAGACCCTGGAATACAAACCAGAGATCTGGATGCAGACATGGCTGAGGAAAGACAAGGAGGGGAGCGCGCAGGAACTACACAGCTGAAAAAAGGAATGAAGGAACAAGATGGTTATTTATCTATGCACAGCAACAATCCACTCCAGACTGTCCACGTTCCTGAGGCCAAAACTGTGCCTTTGTTCCCCAAATGAATGGGGATGCACATCCTTGGCCCTGTAGATAATAGATAACAACATTTTCCTGAGCAACTGCCCTGTTCCCTGACAGCCAGGTGCCAGGGTCATGTCATGAAGTCTTGGGCCAGGCTTCAGCACCCCTCTCAGCTCTAGATCTTGCTTGTGCACAAGACGTAATGCATTAACCTCGTAAGGGCCCGTGTGATCGCTCACTGTCGGGGAGCCGGCTCACGGCACAGGGAAGCACGCAGGGAGCGCATGATGGCTTCCTCCTCTGCAGAGGAGGCTGTCCTGGATGCGTACTGAGCTCTGAAGAGACGGTCCATTTCCTAGTCCTCTCCACAGCACATCAGCGATTCCCTGCTGATGAATCTTTTAGAGTCTCTCTTCTTTTTGCACTTCACAGACATGGACCTCAAGGGATAGGAGGCAAATGAGCGACAAAGTTTTTAGTTGGTTAGACCGCCTGCTGCTGTAGTATTAGGAAAAAGTCATGATCATTTAGTTAACAGGGCTGAAGGCAGAAAGAGAATCAGTTATACCCCACACATACAGAAGAACATCTCTTAACTGTGTCTAAGACAGCAGAATGTGAAGGGGGGAATACAGGTGCCTGGTGTTGGATGTTAGCATCCAAAAATTAATCCAAATTGAGAGCACGCTCCCATTCCCTCAGCCTGCACTTTCACAGAGGTTAAGCAATGAAAAACCATCAGCTGCAGAACCATCAGATAATTATTCCTACAACCGCAACTGGCCGGAGATATGGTAGCTTTGCGGTCAGGCTATTTACGTGTGTGCACACAACTCACACGCGTGCCGGCAGCCGGCTGAATGCAGCCTGCCTGCTAACAGGATTGGTACCGGGCTCCTGCCTGCTCCAGACGACGCTGCCCTTCCCAGAGCTACTTAAAACAGCCACTTCTCCAGCAAAAGCGCGCTCCAGGCAGTACTGGCAGAGCGCATCAGTTCTGCACAACCCCGCAGGACAGATTGCTCCCTTCGGAAATGTTCATTTCTACACTTACAAAGCACGGCAGCTCAGCGGCAGCATCGCACGAGTCCCCTTGCACAGCCTCACCCGCACCGGGACCGCAGGGACCCGCCCGGCCAGAGATAAGACCCCAACCACAGAGGAACAAAGACTTCAGCAGAGTCCTGCTGCACTCAGTCAAAAGGGGTGACAAAAATTATGTTTAAGAGGGGAGAGAGATGTCAGGGCTTGGCCTTTTGCTTTCTGATAACATTCACGTTAAAGAAAGCTCTCCAGAGCTTGTGGTTTTTTCCTTTTTTTCTTTCTAATCTGGGATTATAAGAAATAAAAAGTTTCCTTGTTTGTGCCAGAGGAGTAAGACTGAGCTTTTTCAGTCTTTTTGTAGAGGAGGAGAGTTGTTGTTTTCACAAAGAGTTTTCTTCTCCCACCTGCTAGTGGGTTGTTTAGCTAAATAAACATTTCCATAGAATGAGACAAGACATATGTTTTAAGCAAGATGAAGGAAAAATAAAAACCTTAGGCTGTTCACATTTTGTTCTCCCCTCCAGCAGTGCCCAGTCACAGCCGTCTGCCTGTCCTCGCGGAAAACCAAAACCTCCAGAAGACCTGGCTTTTTGTCAGGCAGCACTGAGGTCCTCTCAGCCAGCCTCTGAAGGACTGCCCTACCCTTCTGTCCCTGTCAGAAGAATTCTTCTAATTAAGTGGTTTGAGCCATCTTCCCCTTTTTGCAATGCAAGAAGAGACAAAGGCAAGAGGCATCCCTTAAAAACACTTGTCTTTTTACTACAGACATATCAAGAACAAGTAGTCTGCTCTTTTCTGCGAACCTTTTTAGGTGTTCACAGATGCACGCTAAAGCGAAGCGCCAGGGGAGTACAATCTTTAACAAAAGTACGCTTCCTCCAAAGCACGCAGCAGTCGTTTGAACTATACGGATTACAATCAAAAACAATGTCAATCAGCCTAATTTAAAAAAAAACCCCACAAAAAACCCGCTAAAAAAAACCCCGTCCCGTTTTTCAGCTCACGTCCTCCATTCTTTTGCTGCTTCTACAGTCAGAGTCGCTCAGGGCACACAAGATCTGCATTTCTAGTCTGAAAAACCCCACAACATTCTGAGAGCTTTGGGCCTTTTTTCCAGGGAACAAAGCAGGAAGGGAAGACACCTTCAGAGGGCACGTGGAGAGGAGCTGCGCAGCGTTACGCTGAGAGCAAGGCTGGGGTCTGGCGCTCCCGCTCTCCCTCCGTCTTCTGGCGGGAGCAGCTGGCCTCAAGGGCATGGTCACTGCTGGTGGTCACCACAGCTCTGTGGTTGTTTCAGCCTGGTGGTGGCCACCACAATCCCTGTGGCCACTTCAAGCCGGGCACCACAATCCCGGTGGCCACTTCAAGCCTGGTGGCCACCACAGCTCTACGTTAGCACGGCCGCTGATGCCTGGTTGTCCCCACAGCCTTGGCAGTGGCTGCCACAGCCTCATGGTCCCCATAGCCTGGCGGTGGCCAGCTCAAGTTCCACAGCTGCTGATACCTGATTGTCCCCACAGCCTAGCTGGTGACTACTATGGCTTTACCGTCACCCCAGTCCAGTGGGGGCGA